ACACACACACACACACACACACACACACACACACACACACACACACACACACACACACACACACACACTACACACACACACACACACACACACACACACACACGAGTACACAAAGAATAATTGTCGTAATTTTAATTATTAAGTATTCACATTAAATATTCAAAGATTAAATATAGTTGTTATTTAGATTTAGAAACGGTTACTATTATTTTTGCAATCGTAGGATAATAATATTCAATCGTTGTACTCACCGACATCGCCGTCAGCTAAAATGACGGCGTGATGGAGGATACAGAGCACCAACAGCTCCACCAAGCCTCCTCGCCACCACCGTTTACGGCTCATATAGATGTTCCTACAATTATAAATTTACTTTATGTCATTCTTTCTCTTTCTCTTTTTGTAACGTTAATTCCTAGTCTTCCATTCATCTATCTTTTGGGGCTCTTTACTCCTTATCCGTAAAAAAATAAAACAATAAAACGTCGAGATCTAAATAAATAAATAAGATATTTAATGAATGAAAATTAATAAAATATTTAATGAGTAAAAATTGTTAAACTATTGACTCATCATGATCATTATTTCTCAAGATGTTTTTTTCTAGTTTTTGTTATAGTCTTCTAATGCTCAAACGTTATTCAGCGCGCGCGCGCGCGCGCGCGCGCGTGTGTGTGTGTGTGTGTGTGTGTGTGTGTGTGTGTGCAGTTACTTCTATAATAAATATTGTGTCGAATGTCAAATTCTACTTTATGAACTGATCGAAATATGAGCAGCCTTCATTCCGTTAAGTTTTATTTAATATGGAAATATATTTGCATTTGTAACAACAGTTTCTAGGACTAGTGTAAGTACTTTCCTGAGTGCATTGCCCTGGAGTACACTACCGTACTCGATCGAATATAAATTCAACAAAAGCTAATATGCATAGCATGTAATATGCAATCAATATTTAATCACCGAAAAACAAAAAAGTAATGAGAAGAGTAGAAATCTCCAACTTAGGAGAGTCGCTGATCATTTTTATCTTTAGACATTTTTGTTCCAAACAACTCTAATTTGCTATTTATTTGAAACATCTTTTTTCCATGATTATTTTTACCTTTACATATATATATATATATATATATATATATATATAAGTATAGTATA